TCTGTGAAACCAGGCTGACCAATGGCTACATCACACAGATGTTGAAACAAACAAACAGGATAACTTATGTAGAATTGTTTTTAAAAATGCATATACCCACATATAAAACATTATTGGGATTTTAGGGCTTCGTTTTTAGTAAATGAAAAATCAATAATATGTTGAATTATCTCTCAGAGTATTGAAAACCCATTAACATTATTTGTATTCATAAAACCTCATAGAGGGTTTAAAATGTTTAGCTTTTGAACTTCACAACTATCAAATCAGAGCAAAATTGCGAAGGTGCAGAGCAGAGAACTGACACATGGCTTTCCCTTATCTTCTCTCTGCAACCCATCTAGATTGCACTCGGTCTTTCTAGTCAGCCAGTCTAGACATGTGTTTCTTGCCACTAATGTCTTTCAATTTCTTGTACATGACAACTAAAAAGATGCTAAGTGCCTTGACCATGCCCTAAAGAAAAGTAAAGAATGCTTCCCTTTTTAAATCGACCAATGTAAAATTTAACATGGAAATGCTCATTAATCTTATTTTTCTCTTCTGTTTTTATTATTGAATTTATTGGGGTAACATTGATTAGTAAAATGATACAGATTTCAGGTATACTGTTATGCCCAGATTTCAGGATCCCCAAGAAACCACATCAGGGAGCCAGCCAGTCCGATGCAAAAGCATAAGAGTCTTTATTCGAGCTAGCTCGGCTCCCCCACCTTGCCGACGCAGCGACATGAAGCAGAGAGAGAGAGAACTCTGTGTGGAGAGGGGTTTTATAGGGGGTTGGAGTAAGGGGAGGAGAAAGGGCTGTGGCCTTGCCGATTGGCCAGGAGCGAGTTGGTGTCTTGTTCCTGGGTGTGGCTAGCAGAGGCTTAGACTTCCGGGAAGAAGCTCCTTGCCAAGCACATGGCCAAGGTAAGATGAAGCACTTACCCTGGGGCAGCAAGATGGACGTAGCCCTTACCCTGGGGCAAGATGGAGGGCTAGCCCTCGCCCTTTCATATACAATTCTACAATGCATCATCTGTATATTGTATTGTGTGTTTACCACCCCAAATGAAGTCTCTTTCCATCACCATTTATCCTCCTTATACCCTCTTCTATCTCCCCTAACCCCTCTTCCTTCTGACCAGGGGTTCTCAAACTTTTTAAACAGGGGGCCAGTTCACTGTCCCTCAGACCGTTGGAGGGCCGGACTATAGTTTAAAAAAAAAACTAGTCGGCTGCTAAGCAACAGGCAGCAGCGTCAAAAACGCCCGGCGGGCGGCATGTGGCCCGCGGGCCGTAGTTTGAGGACCCCTGCTTCTGACAATCACCATACTGTTGTCTGTGTCCATGAGTCTTGATTTCTTTTGCTTAATCCCTTTACCATTCTTACCTAGCCTCCCAACTCCCTATCCTCTGATAGCTGTCAGTCTGTATCCATGAGTCTGTATCCACTTTGTTGGAAATTAGATTCCTAACATATAAGTGAAATCATATGGTACTTGTATTTTTCTGACTGCCTTATTTTGTTTTATAATACTCTCCAGGTCCATCCAGGCAGGTAAATATCCAAAAGGGACAACTATAAAAAATGGCATATAATTGTGGATGAAAGGGGCCACATGCTAACCTGACAAGCTCAGGGGAGGCCTGCATGACAGTCTTGCAAACTCAGACACCTAAAGTAACCACAAAGGATGGTCTGAAATTAAACTAACTATAAGCAGTTATGGTGGGTAGTTACATCCTAGGCTGGTATCTTCACTGACAAGGTCAGTCTTTACTTTAACTGAGCCTGTGTGTCTTTTTGCATCTATAATAACATACCCTTGGAAATGTCTGGGTAACTTTGTAACTTCCCTTTTTCTGGACCCCTTGAGGCACAACCTAATGTGCCTGGGCTGCAGGACAGATACCACAAATTCTTTCATTATTATCATGTTAATTGTTCCTGCACCCACCTAAGTATGTGTCTATCATTTTACTTTTTATCCAATCCCAGGGGTTTCCCTGCTTTGCTTTCTCCCGCCTCTCTAGTTTATCACCAATGGATTTCATGTAACCCACCTACATCCCTTTCGTTTGATTGCAATCTAATCTAATAATAGACAAAAAGGGTAATTGACCATACCTTTGCTACGCCTCCCATTGGTTAATCAGCATGATATGCAAATTAACCGTCAACAAAGATGGCGGTTAATTTGCATAAGTAGGCTCCAAATGGTGGAGCAGTGAAGCCTGATGGAAGCCCTGTGTGTTTATGCACCCTGGGGGTGCAGAGGTCCGGTCCTAGGCAGAGGCCGATGGCGAAACTTCCAATTCCGAGAAGTGGCCTGGGGGCTGGAAGGAGGCTCCTCTGACCACAGCGCTGGAGTCCTGCCGCTCCACCAGGAGAGGAGCAGAGAAAGGCTGGAGCCTCCCTCAAGGTAACCTGAAACCCTCACCCACACCAGGCAGGCCGCTGGGCCTGTGCGTGGAGGACTCACCTCCAAGCCCAGCCAGTGGCCCTGCCGCATAGCACCCCTGGGTGCAGGCCCCAGTGGGACGCGGGGTGGCGGCGGGGGAGCCATGAGTCCTGGGCTCCTTGCCTGCCTTCCATGGCTTCCTCCTGCTTCAGGGCCTTGCCCTCCGCTGCCTCCTCCTCCCCAGCGCCCAGAGCAGAGGACCCACCGAGGGCACTCCCCGCTGGCCGAGGGGGTGAATGGAGCAGCGGGGACTCCAGGGTGAAGGGTCGCCCTGGGGAGGAGTCCTGACACCTCCACGCCCCTGCCCAGGCCCTGAGCTCAGTGTCTAGCTGCGCAGGCCTGGAGGGAGCAGGTGGGGGCGGGCGCACATGCGCCTGGTGCAGTGAGACATGCTAGGGAGCCACCTGCCTTCCAGGGCCTCCTTCCTGCTTCAGGGCCTTGCCCTCCGCGGCATCCTCTTTAGGGGACTGCGGACACCTCCATGCCGCGCTCCTGGAGCGCTGCCCACG